TAGGACGAAACCTTCTAACTATCGTCCCGTCTCTCTCACTTGTGTTTGTAGTAAGGTCATGGAGCACATTATCCACTCCCAGATTATGGACCATTTTGATATGTATTCTATCTTAACTGAAAACCAACATGGTTTTAGGAAGAAACATTCGTGTGAGACTCAACTTGTCCAAACCACAAATGACTTAGCCCTTTCCTTAGATTCCAAATCACAAACTGATCTAATCATAACTGATTTCGCCAAAGCCTTCGATAAGGTTCCCCATAACCGTCTTCTCTTAAACTACATAATTATGGTATCCGAGGCAAACTCCTCCCAGTGGATTTCTAATTTCCTAAAAAACGCAAACAAAGGGTGGTAGTTGGGGGGGGAACGATTCAGATTGGGCAGAAGTAGTTTCTGGAGTACCCCAAGGCACCGTACTAGGGCCTTTATTGTTCCTAGTATACATAAATGATCTGGCTGATAACCTTAACTCTAACATCAGGCTTTTCGCCGACGACTGTGTCATTTACAGAGAAATAAATAACCACAATGACCATATCCTACTACAAGATGATATAAACACGTTAGACGCATGGCAGAGCAATTGGCAAATGGAACTACACCCTGATAAGTGCTATGTCATGCGCTACACCCATAAACGCAAACTAAGTATTTGACTACAAACTAGGGAGCCATACACTAGCTGAGGCTAATAATCACAAGTACCTAGGGGTTATCTTAAACAACAAACTTTCTTGGACTGAACACATCCATCATATTACTTCCAAAGCAAATAAATCATTAGGTTTTATCAAACGCAATCTCTATAGCTGTCCTAAATCAGTTAAGAAGAATGCATACACTAGTTTAGTCAGACCACATCTTGAATACGCTAGCGCTGCATGGGATCCGTACTACAAGGAACATATTCACAAGTTAGAATCGGTCCAGAAAAGAGCGGCCAGATTTGTTTCTAATACCTATGATACTTATGCCAGCACTACCAAATTGGTCACAGATTTAGGGTGGGACACATTAAAGGACAGACGCACAGCAAGTAGACTCACATTACTCCAGAAAGCAAGACACTCAAAAACAGCCCTTCCGGTCAAAACCTTGTTGACGCCTATCCCGCGCCAATCGCGACACTTCAACTCCAACTCATACAAACCTCTAACGTTTCACAAAGACTGCTACAAATATTCATATTTTCCACAAACTGTCAGAGATTGGAACATTTTGCCCCAAGAGATAACCGATACTGCGGAACCCACGAAGTTCAACGCTGCAGTACTACAACACCTGAGGAAGCAGCAATAACGCATCGCACAGCTCCCCTGCACGTTTTACCCCAATCTAGGGGTGTTGTGCAGTACCCGAACAAGACAAGACAAGACAATATAAAATGGGAACTTCTGATTGACTGACGACATCAATTATTATTTTATTTATTATTTGAATTTTTTTATCTAAGTCTAAAGAAGGTGGGCTCAGTACAAGCCTACTAGGCTTCCAGCCCCCTTTTGCACACTGTTTGTCTTTTCATTCTATTCTTTATTATGTCATGTGTATTCTTTGTTCGAATAAGTAAAACAAATAAGCAAGGCATGTAAAAATAGGGGTTAATGGCAATATAAAAACGAACACGTCTATATACGATTACACTTATTGAATCAAAGCAATATCATGTTACATTAGCATGAAAGTTCATCTGAGTTGGTAAATTACATTATGAGAAACATAAACTATTCTCCAACTCAAAATTTGACTCACCAGAAATTTTCATTTTCGACTAAATCACTCAGTCTTCCTCAGCTATCGAAAATTTCTGGTGAGTCAAATTTTGAGTTGGAAAACAGTTTAAGTTTTTCATAATATCATGTTACTTTTCCCTGATCACGTCCTAAGAATTGTTTTGTTTTTGTTAAAGTAGATAACAGTACTCTGATTCTGCATGCCTACTTCTTATTCACCTCAGCGATTGGGAGCGATGGAGATTTTGCAGCTGATCTGACTGAACCAACTGGGGAGGGTGTCTATGGAGAAGACAGTGTGGAGGTTTCGTCTTTCGTGAGTAGACCAAGCGAATAGATGGTTAGCTCAATCCAAACGTCGCAAAGAGTAGCTGTTTTCTAAGTGTTATACTTTAAAATATATTTTGGTGTATACGTACATTTTATGCTAATAGAAGAAGGGAATATTATATTAACATAGTTGGACTGCAACATGCGATCTGTTTTATTCCCGTGTGCGCTCTCACAAACAGGAATATTTTTGTTTTCGTGAGAAAGATATGTAATAGGTAGATTTTGTTGGAGCAGCTGTTGCGTGTCTCCATAATAAGGTCAACGTCATAACTAAAGTATTTGTGGATGGATTTTTTTCTTTAATTTCGGCATCAGGGTAACTGTTGTTAAAATGTAGTTCAAGCTCAAAAATGGTCCACCTGGCTTTTCCCAATCGTACTGCAGTGGAGTTTTAGTGTTTTTGTCGATTGTATTTATGCAGAACAAATTGAGAATTTATCTTAATAATATTTGGTAGGTAAGCAACGGTTATAGAAACAATCCCAAAGTTAAAATATGGTTATCATGTTCCTAGTGCGTTGCTGCAGAAAAGTTGTTGTGCTTTGTGATTTTGTTTGTGTACAACATAACTCGAAAAAATGCGGATGGTTTTTAATGTTTTTTTTTAGTAGTTGGGTAAGAACAGGAAAGACGCAGGTTAAGTACAATAATGCGGCTGTTTTAGGTATTGCAGCGGAGCTTCAAAGTTTGAGGTGAATTTTCCTAAAGTGTAAGGTTCATGATATTGAAGTAGTCGAAAGCTGCTGAGACTGGGAGTATATCGTGTAATTTTGGCCTCCTAGCATCTTCTGTAGTGGGCGTTTTGTTTCAGAGTTTGCAAATAAACGGAGCATGTTTTTTTTATTGTTTTTGGTAGGTAGGTGCCCAGATGAGGATAAACATGAGATAAAAATGAGATGCATATTATGCAAATCAGGATCTAATTTACATAAGAAATGAGGAAAACATATTCTGTAATGGGTCTGTGATGATGACATGTCCAAGATTTCGGGACACATCTGGTGCTGAAATGTATAGTGTAGGTTAATCTGCAACATGATCTGGCGCCTTGAAAACTATAGCTGGTTTCTTTTGGTTGCGATTAGAAATTGAATATTCGTATACAAGTATATTCGCCTATTCAGATTCTTTTCACATTAACAATATAAAACAAAATATCTACACCTAAAGCATGTGTTCCACGAACTATAGTTTTTTTTTTATTTTCTTCCCTCTAGGATTTCGAAAAGGATGTCACTGGTGAAGATGTGCTTGCTGTTGACAGCTATACTGGTAATTACCATTTCCATAAATATTCGAGCTACTACAAACCCTACACAAAAAGAGATCAACGTTATTTCAATATGCTGTCCCTCGGATAGGACGTTAAAAGGAGGTCCCGTGTGTGGGGAGAGCCACGCACCACCCACAACACATTTGGAAAATGAGTAGTTTACTGGCATGCCCCAGTGTGTGATGGTCCAAATACTACTGTCTGGGAGCTCCCAACAGCTAATCTCGTAAAAATTTGGCAGCTCGTATTGGCCAACAAGCTAATATATACTAGTATGCTAAACCTCTCATATGGTCTACCTTTGGTAACTAAAACACTTACTATCTAGTTCCCAGTTCCCGGTCGTTATACTTGGCGTAAATTACAATTAATTTGTTTCGCATATGCAGGCGACGCGGCCGACATGGATGACAACAAAGAGCAAGAAGCTCTTCGTGTTCTTCAAGCCCCGACTACAAGTGATGACGATAAACTTGGCATCGATGCAGTGGACTTCGCGGAAAAGTCGATAAATCAGGTTTGTGTCGTATTGAGGGATTCATAGGTCCTGTATACGTACTGCGTACTTGTTACCTTCGCCTAAAAGGTTATGTTTTCGTTGGTGTTCGTGTGTCTGTGTGTGTGTGAGCACGATAACGCAAGAAGGCTAAAATTGATTGTCTTTATATTTGGTAGGTGGGTAGGTGTTGATAGGACCTGGTACTGATTAGATTTTTGACCCCCTGGCGGCTTGTTATGATACTGCAGTTGAATTTCCGGTTTTGATATCTCGTGATCTGGACATGGTAGGGTCACTAAATTTGGATGGTAGGTAGCTCTTTTGCTGGGAAAGAACTGACATGAGTTTAGACCCCCTAGCGGCTTGTTCTGGAACTACAGAAGCATTCGTTGAAAAATATTCGAAGGAGAACCGATTGACGGATCATCATGATTTTTGGTTTGTATGTGCCTTAAAGAACGCTTGGCATGTTTAAATTATAGTTATGCAAATTAGCAGCTAATAATGAGCAGCAAATTAGCATAATTAATGAGGAAATGCTTTAAATCTGCTAGCTTCCATGATATGATTATTCAAACGTGTGGCATGTGTAATTGTAAAGAAGAACATTGGCAGGTGGTGTTTATGCAAATGAATGCCTAATTTGCATAATTAATGCAAATCGTCAACATTCGTCAAGGCCCAAGAGTAACATCATTTGGCGAAGGTCTGAGATCGTGGAACTCTAGTTTCCATTGATTTCAATAATGTTCCGTCTTCTTTTGGTCGGGGAGGTGGTCAATAAAGTCGTCTTCTACCCCGTACATATCTGTATCTGGGCATTTGTAGGTTAACCTCCTACTAGTATACTAAACATACATTTCAAATTTTCAGGATGCAGATGCTGAATACGCGTTGGCCTTACGTAATCTCCGTCCAAACAGCAACGGTATGTCCATTACTCAACTCAAGTCAAGTCAATGCCTTTATTTTTCTTTAAATACTTGTTCGGCCTACACGACCGAGTTCTAACAAGGTCGAAGTGATCACGGACAAGAGTCATAAAAGCTTTTTTAAAACAGTACTGTATCTAGTTAGCATTGATGCAATTAACTATTTTTGTCAAATAGCAGAGCGATTCCCTATGTGATTTATCACTCCATTCATACAACACAAACGTTGTTCTTGTTGTTCTGTCGTAGGCTGGAAGGTGTCAAGTTTGAACGGACCAGCGAATCCAATCATTGCAGACCATGCCCCACGTCCTGACAATGCACCCAATCGAGCACCAAGTAAGTAGCGTATAAATGGAAAGGGCATTCATGCTTAGAGATTGTTGTAATCTATAGCAAAACTATGAAGATTACTCATTGTTGTATGAATACCCATTTGTGTACCGTAACTGAGGGGTAACACATCATTATATAGCATCTAAATTTTGGGGCAGTCCTGGTTATATTTTCGTAAATAAAGTTTTATAAGTAAAATAAATTCAAACTGTGAAATTATGAATAAAAAAAATGTCGAGTTTAAAAGAGCTCGCAACTTTTAAACTAATCATTGTTAAAATCATATATATATAGAATGGGGGCAATTGTTAAAATTCAATTTAGGTCTTTCTGAAAATCATTATAAAAGAGTTCACATCAGGTGCGGGTTTTTTTTATTTATTTCAGACTGTTCTCTAACATAACATTTGTTCGGCTAAAAGAATTTTTTTCAATAGCAGGAACAATACATCTGGATGGATTGAAATTTGAAACGTTCGGTTTCAGAGTACCATAACTTGGCAATATTGGATTTTCTTTTTGGTTGTTTTGGTTATCTCTTTTTCTTTTTTGACATTTTGAGACAAGAAAAACTTACTTTTAGATTTAGATTTAGCCCTGGTATCAAAGCCAAACGAATTGTATAATTTTGAATTAAGGCAGTTTTTGTATTCAAAATTGGACTATGAGATTATAGATTTCTTTTGGGTTCGATATTCCTTTAACGACGAAACTTAATATCCACTATTTACTCACAAGTAAAGTTGGACACGCTCATATTGTCGGCGAACGAAGGAATAGACCGTTTCCGAAACCATATCCAGTTGCTCGCGTAACAGTTTTTGGCGTAAAATTTGCTAACGTTTGGCACTACTAGTACCTCCCAGCACTGCATTGGCCACAGAATGTTTTTTTTTTCAAATAGCAGAACGATTCCCTATGCGATTCATCACTCCATTCATACACACAAACGTTGTTCGAATTCTTGTTGTTCTGTCGTAGGCTGGATGGTATATAACCGACGACCCAAATTACCATTCCGACCTCCTCCCAATGCACCCACTGAAGCACCAAGTAAGTAAATTATAAATGGAAAGGACTTTCATGCACAGTGATTGTTGTAATTGTGCATCTAGAGCAAAACTATGAAAACTACCATTGTTGTATAAATACCAATTTTGTACCGTAACTGAGGGCTAACACATCATTATAGCATGTAAATTATGGGGCAGTCCTGGTTGTGTCTTCGTAAATAAAGTTTTATAAATGAAATACAATAAAACTGTGAAATTCTGAATAGAAAAGAAGTCGAGTTTAAAACAGCTCGCAACTTTTAAAGTAATCGTTGTTAAAATCATACATGGAATTGAGGGGGGGGGGGGCACTTGTTAAAATTCAATTTAGGACTTTCCGAAAATCATTATAAAAGAGTTATATCAGGTGCGGCATTTTTTTATTTTAGATTATTCTCTAACATAACATTTGTGCGGCTAAAAGAGTCCATTCTTGAACAGCAGGAACAGTATACCTAGTTGGAGTAAAATTGGAAAGGTTCCGTTTCAGACTACCATATAACTTGGCAATATTAAATTCTCTTTGTCGGTCAGACGATATTTTGAGATGTTCTTATATTGCATATGCGTGAGTTCGGAACATTTCCATTTTCTGGGTTGTGAGATGGGATGAAATAAGATGTATGTCCTTGCAAGCAAAAATCGGTTTTTCTTTTTCCTATACCAGATTGTGACCGATGGACAGGCTGGTTTAACCGTGACAACCCTAGCGGCAACGGCGACTACGAAACATTGTTGCACCTTCGGCGGGAGAACCCCGGAAAGATTTGCTCCACTCCCTCGGCTATCCAGGCTCGCGTCCGAGGGTCCCAAGTACCGGCTTCCCAAACAGGAGAACACTTTGACTTTTACGATACGGACATCGGTCTTGCCTGCAGGAACTCTCACCAGTCTGATCGCTACTGCAAGGACTATGAAGTTCGCTTCTGCTGTTCCCATAGTCCTAATTCCGGTATGCTAGTCCAAGCGTGATCATATATCACTATGACACTGTAGGTTTTTCTTCCTTCTATTGCCATTTCGTTAAGTGAATTAATTTTTTGTGCATATATTTTTTTGGAACGGTATGGAAGAAGAATGTTTATATTGTGGGACGTGGTGAACGTAAGCTGAACGAAGGTGCTGTTTTAGTTTCTTGTAATCTTCTTCGTCTTGGCTTGGCTTCTTTCTTGTAATAGAGCGTTTCCAAACCCATATATCCAGTTGCTCGGGTAACTGTTTTTGGCGTAAAATTTGCTAATAGTTTTATTCAAGTGACGGAAATGCAAGTGATTCGACTACTAGTACCTGTCAGCACTGCATTGGCCACAAAACTTTTTTTCAAATAGCAGAGCGATTCCCTATGTGATTTATCACTCCATTCATACAACACAAACGTTGTTATTATTGTTCAGTCGTAGGCACAACTAAGGCACCAGCCAATCCAACAATTACAACCCAAGGTCCTACCAATGCACCCACTGAACCACCAAGTAAGTAACTTATGAATGGAAATGACTTTCATCCATGGAGATTGTTGTAATGTGGCATCTAGAGCAAAACTATGAAATTTGCCCATTGTTGTATGAATATCCATTTGCGTACCGTAACTGAGGGCTAACACATTATTATATAGCATCTAAATTTTGGGGCAGTCCTGGTTGTATTTTGTAAATAGAGTTTTATAAATAAAATAAAAGTCAAAGTGTGAATTTCTGAATAGAAAAAAAAGTCGAATTTTAAACAGCTCGCAACTTTTAAACTAAACATTGTGAAAATCATACATGGAATTGAGGGGGGGGCACTTGTTGAAATTCAATTTAGGACTTTATAAAAATCATTGTAAAAGAGTTTATGTCAGGTGCGGCATTTTTTTTTTTATTTCAGACTGTTCTCTAACATAACATTTGTACGGCTAAAAGAGTCCATTCTTGAACAGCGGGAACAATATACCTTGTTGGAGTAAAGGCGGAAAGATTCCGTTTCAGACTGCCATAACTTGGCAATATTGAATTTTATTTTTCGGTCAGACGATAGATATTTTGAGATGTTCTTATATTGCATATGCGTCAGTTCGTAATAGTTCCATTTTCTAGGGTTGGGAGATGGGGTGAAATAAGATGTATTTGCTTGCAAGCAAAAATCGGTCTTTCTTTTTCTTATACCAGATTGTGACCAATGGACAGGTTGGTTTAACCGTGACAACCCTAGCGGCAACGGCGACTACGAAACATTGTTGCACCTTCGGCGGGAGAACCCCGGAAAGATTTGCTCCACTCCCTCGGCTATCCAGGCTCGCGTCCGAGGGTCCCAAGTACCGGCTTCCCAAACAGGAGAACACTTTGACTTTTACGATACGGACATCGGTCTTGCCTGCAGGAACTCTCACCAGTCTGATCGCTACTGCCAGGACTATGAAGTTCGCTTCTGCTGTTCCCAGAATCCTAATTCCGGTATGCTAGTCCAAGCGTGTTCATATTTCATTATAACACTATAGGTTTTTCTTCCTTCTATTGCTATTTCGTTAAATAGATTAATTTTTGTGCAGATATTTTTTAACGGTATGGAAGAAGAATGGTTATATTGTGGGACGTGGTGAACGAAGGTGCTGTTTTAGTTTCTTGTATTAGACCGTCTCCAAACTCATGTATCCAATTGCTCGGGGAACTGTTTTTTTTGCGTAAAATTTTCTAATAGCTTGATTTTAGTGACAAGATTGCAAGTGATTCGACTACTAGTACCTCTCAGCACTGCATTGGCCACAAAACGATTTTTTTTCAAATAGCAGAGCGATTCCCTATGTGATCTATCACTCCATTCATACCACACAAACGTTGTTCTTGTTGTTCTGTCGTAGGCACAACTAAAGCACCAGCCAATCCAACAATTACAACCCAAGGTCCTACCAACGCACCCACTGAACCACCAAGTAAGTAACGTCGAATTTCAAAGAGCTCGTAACTTTTAAACTAAACATTGTGAAAATCATACATGGAATTGAGGGGGAGGGGCACTTGTTAAAATTCAATTTAGGACTTTATAAAAATCATTATAAAAGAGTTCATATCAGGTGCCGCATTTTTTTAAATTTCAGAGTGTTCTCTAACTTTAACAATTGTACGGCTAAAAGAGTCCATTCTTGAACAGCGGGAACAATATACCTAGTTGGAGTAAAATTTAAAGATTCCGTTTCAGACTACCATAACTTGGCAATATTGAATTTTCTTTCTTGGTCAGACGATATTTTGAGATGTTGTTATCTTGCATAAGAGTGAGTTCGGAACAGTTCCATCTTCTGGGTTTGGAGATGGGGTGAAATAAGATGCATTTGCTTGCAAGCAAAAATCGGCCTTTCTTTTCCCTGTATCAGATTGTGACCGATGGACAGGTTGGTTTGACCGCGACAACCCTAGCGGCAACGGTGACTTTGAAACATTGTTGCACCTTCGGCGGGAGAACCCCGGAAAGATTTGCTCCACTCCCTCGGCTATCCAGGCTCGCGTCCGAGGGTCCCAAGTACCGGCTTCCCAAACAGGAGAACACTTTGACTACTACGATACGGACGTCGGGTTTGCCTGCACAAACTATCGCCAGTCTGATCGCTACTGCCAGGACTATGAAGTTCGCTTCTGCTGTTCCCAGAATCCTAATTCCGGTATGCTAGTCAAAGAGAAAACATATTTTACTCTATAAAACCGTAAATTTTTCTATGTTCTATTGCCATTTCGTTAAATGGATTAATTCTTCATTTGTCCAGGTATTTTTTTAGAAATGGTTTTGGAAGAAGAATGGGAATATCCTGTGACGTTTTCTTTATTTGGTTGTTTTGTTGTTTTTTAAGGGATTTTTCGTATTCAAAGTTTAACTAGGAGATTATAGGAAATTATAGGAGATAGTCTTTTAACGACGAAACTTAATATCCACTATTTGCTCACAACTTAAGTTGGACAGGTTCATATTGTTCCACGAACGAAGGTGCTGTTTCTTGTAATATACCGTTTCCAAAACCATATTCAGTTGCTCGGGTAACTTTTTTATGGCGTAAAATTTACTAAAATTAGGCACTACTAGTACCTCCCAGCACTGCATTTGCCACAAAACTACATAGCAGAGCTGTTTCCTATGTGATCTATCACTCCATTCATACACACAAACGCTGTTCTTGTTGTTTTGACGTAGGCACAACTAATGCACCAGCCAATCCAACAATTGCAACCCAAGGTCCTGCACCCACTGAACCACCAAGTAAGTAATGTCGAATTTCAAAGAGCTCGTAACTTTTAAACTAAACATTGTGAAAATCATACATGGAATTGAGGGGGGGGGGAACTTGTTAAATTCAATTTAAAACTTTATAAAAATCATTATAAAAGAGTTCATAACAGGTGCGGCATTTTTTAAAATCTTAAAACAACTTTGGCACCTGTCAATCCAACCTTTGCAACCCAAGGTCGTTCCAGTGCACCCACTGAATCACCAAGTAAGAAACTTATGAATGGAAATGACTTTCATCCGCAGAGATTGTTGTAATGTGGCATCTAGAGCAAAAATATAAAGAATACTCATTGTTGTATGAATACCATTTTTTGTACCGTAACAAGTCATTATAGCATCTAAATTTTGGGGCAGTCCTGTTTGTATTTTTGTAAATAAATTTTTATAAAAAGACTGTGAAATTCTGAATAGAAAAAAATGTCGAGTTTAAAAAATACTAATCATTGTTAAAATCATACATGGAATTGGGGGGGGGGGCGTTGTCAAAATTCAATTTAGGACTTTATGAAAATCATTATAAAAGAGTTCATACGAGTCAGAAGCGGCATTTTTTAAAATTCCAGACTGTTCTCTAACATAGCTTCTGAATTTTGTTTTTCGGTCAGACCATATCTTGGGATATTCTTATATTGCATATGCGGGAGTTTGGAACAATTCCATTTTCTGCGGTGGGAGATTGGATGAAATAAGATGTATTTGCACGCAAGCAGATATCCGTCTTTCTTTATTTTCTATGCCAGATTGTGACCGATGGACGAGTTGGTTTGACCCCGGGAAGGATTTAAGTCAGAGTTAAATTCTTCTCGGGTCCCGGTGTCAGGCCAAATCCATGATCCTGCCAAATCCATGACTCCGACACTACATGGGGGTTTCCAATATACCTAAGACAAGGGGTGGGAGGGGTTAAGTCGTGATGTGGGGCCCTGCAGTTCCAGATCTAGGGGTCCCAAACTTACCTCACTTCTTCCCCAGCACAAGCGCTACCTCACAGATCGCAAAAGCGGAAGTTCAGCTGCAGTACCATAACAAGTCGCTAGGGGGTCCAGGTCTCATCAAGACCTACCCACCTGCTAGATATCAAGACAATTATTTTAAGCCTTCTCGTGTCTACACACACACACACACACACACAAACACACATACACGAACGCCTCTGAAAACATAATCTTCTTGGTGAAGGTAATGCAAGATACTGCCATGTTTGTCAATAGGCACTGTACTTTCTTTGTCTTGAATCTTGCAGATTTTAAACTGTAAATTTCTTGGTGACCACCAAACCACATTGTCCCTAATGTCCTCAACCTGTGTTATTTGTACCAGGCGTCTCACAGAAGATCATCTTCCCCGGTCCAAGAGGCATTGATGACTATGCCAGGATGGAGACCACGTTGTCTGAGGACTTAACCAGCTTTACCCTCTGTGTGCACATGCGCTCCAACATGGATTCCAGCAATGAAATCAGCCTGGTCAGCTACGCAGTGTCGCAATCTTACAACGAGCTGATCTTGTTTGTAAAGGGTGGATTTATGGTAAGTATACAATCGTTTTCGATTTTAGGTTCCTGCAGACTATTGCTTGCTTATGCTGGATATGTATGTAAACTGACCAATGTAAAAAGATTGTAAGTGTGTCCTGATAGTTTAGATAGAGCTATTCCGGTTTCCTCCTTGTCTTCAAAGTCAAACACAAGGGTTTATTTAATCATGAAAAATGAAATTGTGACTAGAATGGGAGACAAATAAAACGACCAAAATAAAACAATTTGAAAAGTAGCAAGAGTCAGCACGGCGGTCTGTCACTGCGGTATTCTTTCCCATTGCTAGGGGGTTCGAAAACATATCGGGTTACAAGACGCAAGTTTGGCCTGTTTTGGACTACCCGTAAACCACTTGAAAATAAACAAAAAGTATTAAAGGGCAAATTCCATCAAAATAAAATGAAAATAACCGTCTTTACAAAGGTTTAATGTTAGTTGTTTACGTTAAATTATTAATTTTTAAAAATCTCGCTCCGAAAGACGATTTTTTTTCGGGATTTGGAGCGCCAGTCCGAGACAGTCCGAGTCATGTTTTTAGGCAAACACCGTTTAAGATTGGCTACGTATATTACCCAAAATCCCCGATTTTTATATTTTTCGACGACTAGGAATAAGATCAAAAATCGTGTCTTAGGAATTTTTTTAATTTCTGATTTTAAGTATAAATGTGAAAAAAACGGTATTTTTTGACATTTTTCGAACTAAATTGCTTATAATTCAAAATCAAGGTCCTATTTCGAAAATCCCTAAGACACGATTCTGGACAAACCCGTTACGGTCATTTTGAGCCGTCAATGAGATATGTTGGACTCTCCATGCTTCCAATCTTAAACGAGTTTTGCACGCATGCCATACGACATGAATATGAGCAGTGTTTATTTAGGCTGGTGAGTACATGCATTACGATCTTCAAGGTCACCCACGATAACGGCAGTAGCTTCGTGTCATGTTCCAGCCCACTATAAAATTTAGGCCGACATTTAGTTGTCCAGGAAATGGTTTATATTTGTTAAAAGGTGGATTTTTTTCTGTTAGGAGGTACATATGTAAAAAGGGGCCGAAAAACCCAGGTTTACTGTAAATGACCGCGGGTGACCCCATTTCGAACACCGTTCTGTTCGAATTACGTCAGATCGAACAAGGTTCGGGTTCTACTGCAAGTGGGGAGATCGGGGCCCAATTTTGACCACCGTGCAGATGCCCCTCCCCCCCCCCCAGAAGGCCTTTAACCTTTGTCAAGGCTGGTGAGAGTGCGAAGCAGAAACCCACTTCTGCTGGTGGGCTCCTTTCCACTGCGAGAGACTAGCAGCTCCAAGTAGTCAAACGACTTAAGTTTCCAAGCCACATAGCTGCCACGTCACTGCGCCCAGACGTGGTACTGTGGTAAGAGTTGTGGCAAAAGGTGATCATGCTGGAATTGACTGTGCCTTGGGAGAGTAGGATAGTTAAAGCTCATGAGCGGAAAAGAGCAAAGTACGCAGAACTAATAGTAGAGAGTCAGAAGAGGGGTTGGAGAGCCAAGTGTGCATCGGTTGAGGTTGAGTGTCGAGGTTTTGCTGGTCAGTCTTTGTCTAGAGCGCTCCACTGGAGTAAGAGGCTCACAGCTTAGATCCGCAATCAAAGACATTCTTGAGGCAGCAGAAAGAGCCTCAAGATGGCTGTGGTTCCGTCGGGGGAAACAAGCTACATAGACACAAGTCGGGGACTGATCACCTCGGCTTGGTCGCCTGGAGGAGGGTGTCTGATGTTGAAAGACCCGAAACACCCGATAATTCCAGGTACATCACTGACGATGTGTCCTTGTTGCACCTCAAGTGTATTCTAGAATGAAAGGCCTGCATGAAACAAAAATGAGGAAAGGCTAGTCGTATTTGCCCACTTTACCGCCATACGAAATTTCATGTGGCAAGGTCATGAGGATAAAAAAAATGACGAAAAAAAAAGAATCCAACAAAATGGCAGGAGGAGACGGACATTGGAGAAATCAGATATGTTTCATCCATACCATCGTATAAAATGAAATGCACATTTTGAAATCTTTTCGCTTATAATTCAGCTCATGTCATTTTTTTAAAATCAGTTACACCTACAAAGCTACATCCAAATGGCAGACCCACCCGTTTGGGACGGTGAGTGGCACACAGTCTGTACTACCTGGCGCAGCAGTGATGGAGCCTGGCAGTTGTACACTGACGGCGCGCTGACGGCTTCAGGCTCGGGGTTTAGAGTGGGAGGAAGAGTGCGCAGAGGCGGAACATGGATCCTCGGACAGGAACAAGACGTAGTCGGGGGAAGATTCGATGCAGACCAGTCATTCATCGGAGAGCTGTCGGAAGTGAACCTCTGGGACCGAGTACTGTCTCCTGCCGAAATAGCAGCGGACTGTAGTTACCATGGCAACGTGATTGACTGGGATACAACTAACACCAGAGTCTTCGGACAGGCCAGCAGGGCTGAGTATCAATGCGGTAAGTAGTACATGCTCATTAACATATGGTGTTCTTTACGGCTTTACAGGACCTGTGCAGGTAGGGGAACCCTTGAATGTGTCTTAGACAAGCTTTTCAGCACCAAGGAAAGACCCTGTCATATTCGTTAAACTGCACAGATTTTTATACTGCTTTTTCCCCCATGTATGCAATTTTGAACTAAAATACTACTAAAATTGGTGCAAGTGCACGTATAATTCAGATAATTCAACGAAACGTAATATCCACTATTTACTCACAAGTAAAGTTGAACAGGTTCATACCTTCCACGAACGAAGGTGCTGTTTTAGTTTCTTGTAATAGGCCGTTTCCAAAACCATATCTAGTTGCTCGGGTAACTGTTTTGGCGTAAAATTTACTGATAGTTTAATTTTAGTGACATAAATACAAGTAATTCTGCACTACTGGTACCTCTCAGCACTGCATTGGCCATAAAACTATATAGCAGAGCGGTTCCCTATGTGATCTATCACTCCATTCACACAACACAATCTTTGTTCTTGTTGTTCTGTCGTAGGCCGGAATGTAACAACTATTGCACCTGTCAATCCAACCATTCCAACCCAAGGTCCTCCCACTGCACCTAAAGAAGCACCAAGTAAGTAACTTCGTTTTGAATGGAAAGGACTTTTTTTGTTGTAATGTTGGTCTAGAGCAAAACTATGAAGATTACTCATTGTTGTATGAATACCCATTTGTGTACCATAACACGTCATTATAGCATCTGGATTTTGGGGCAGTCCTGGTTGTGTATTTGTAAATACAGTTTAATGAATTAGATAAAATCAAACTGTAAAACTGCATAAAAAACAACAAAACAAAACGAGTGTCGAGTTTAAAAGAGCTCACAACGTTTAATCCAAACATTGCTAGCTAAAAATTCATCATCATCATAAAATTAAAAGATAAATCATCATCATAAAATTAAACGATAGATAATACATGGAATGGGGGGAGGCACTTGAATATCATTATAAAACAGTTCATATCAGGTTCGGCTTTTTTTCAAATTTTCAGACTGTTCTCTAACGTAACATTTGCGCGGCTAAAAGAGTCCATTTTTAAATAGCGGGAACAATATACCTAGTTGAAGTAAAATTTAAAAGATTCAGTTTCAGACTACCATAACTTATCATTGTTAAAATCATAAATGGAATTGGGGGAGGGGGTACTTGTTACCTCCATGAAAAATGGAGGTATTGTTTTTGACGTGTCTGTGTGCCTGCCTGTGTGTGTGTGTGTGTCTGTGTGTCTGTGTGTGTTTTCGCAAGTTGGGTCATTATAATTGTTTCAAGTCATTTTTAGAGGAGACATAATGTAACGATACTGTAAATGAGAAGTCGTCTATGAACTTAACCACAAAATCTCGTCTACATCTGCAGATCCCTGTCCGCAAAACTATGAACAGGTCGTGGTGAACGGGGCAAGAAAGTGCATGAGGTTCTCTGCTAAAGGTGGCCGAAAATCCTACCAGGCTGCCGGTCAGACCTGCCGAGATGAAGGCGCCCGTCTGGTGGTCATCAAATCCGCTGAACTGGATACTTTCATCGACAACCGCATCAAAACCACCTACGCGGCCGAGACGTGGATCGGGCTGGATGATCTGACTGCTCCTGCTGTGAGTTTTTTATTCCAACATTTAATCACAAGACTAGGTGACGGAGGGCAACTGATTTTTATGTTGTCATCAATACAAAAGACAACACAATACTCATTTTAACCTGAGCGAAGTAAGACATTTCGTGTAAAGTGCCTTTCCCAAGGGCACAAGACCGGTGGCATGGCAGGATTTGAACTCGGGTTCTGTTCTCTTGGTTCCAAGACGACCAAACTACCGTAACGCCAAACGGCCCCACGATTGTTCTGTCTATATAATTATAATGCTTGTAGAATAACAAAAATGTACATCACGTCCTTTGCTTGGATACAAGTACGTAAACATATTAAGCTTTGCCAAATTTGGAAATTGTGCTTTTAGAATATTCTAATGTCCAAATATTTCGGGGGTTAGAGTAGCTGTTTTTGCTAGTTTCAGTAGTTTATTTGCTAGGCATCAACCCTATTGACGTTTTGAAGTAGTCTGTTAAGAACGACGTATGGTAATATCTTTTGTGGTAACGAGTATTTGAACATGTCGACAGTCGCAGTACCGTTGGAGTGACGGAAGCGTGTTGGGCTCAGGTGACTTTAACGACTGGTCTCCCGGACAGCCGGACACAATTTACCGGGAGAAATGTGTGGAGATCCGCCCGCAGTTTAGCTACCATTGGAACAACCATCACTGCAATCTACCCAAGAACTACATTTGCGAGATACGTAAGTTCCGGCAGATGTATCTGACATTTTTTTTAATCTGTAGTGCTGTCGATGGCAATCACTCGAGATCTTTATTTGCAATCAGATACAGATGCATGTACAGATACATATTTATGCACAGATACAGATTCATGTACAGATATACAGATACAGATTTTTTTAATGAGGTCATCTTGAAATGAAGTATGACAAAGAAGAGGAATTTTACACGAAAAATGTTGTCATTTAAATGTAGAAAACCATAAATTAAACTAGATTATGCTAATTGTGACCTTATTTCCATAGTCAGTGACACAAATAAAAGACATTTACAAAAACCCATGTATTTCATGGAGGTATGAGATCTACGAATTCTTATTCTTGTTGTTCTGTCGTAGCCTGGAATGTAACAAATATGGCACCTGTCAGTACAACCATTGCAACCCAAGGGCTTACCACTGCACCCAATGAAGCACCAAGTAAGTAACTTAGTTTTTGAATGGAGAGGACTTTCATGCACAGAGATTATTGTAATCTGGCACCTAGAGCAAAACTATGAAGATTACTCATTGTTGTATGAATACCCATTTGTGTACTGTAACTAAGGGATAACATGTCATTATAGCATCTGGATTTTGGGGGCAGTCCTAGTTGTATATTTGTAAATATAGTTTGATAAATTAGATAAAATCAAACTGTAAAAGTCTGAATGAAAAAAAAAGATCTCGAGTCTAAGAGCTCGCAACTTTTAATCCAAGCAATGTTACCTAAAATTTATTTTTAAAAAGTCATACATGGAATGGGGGTGGAAGGCACTTGTTAAAAATTCAATTCATTACCGTAACGTTTAATTACTTAGTAGAAATATAATATACTCCTCTGAAGCAAAACGTCCATGTACATTTCATCATTTGTCCCCTTACACAGAACTGTTACCGACACCTCCAGCAGATATTTCAGGTAAGGCTATCATGTTTTGCCAAGACTTACGTGAAACACAATACTGTTTTGTACTTTTGTACTTATTGACATATCCACACCTTATGCCTTACTGTTAGAGACTGTGACGTCGTTTGCATGTGCAAATTCTAAAGAATAAAAAGGAAAAGAGCAGGAATTTAGATTTTTCACAAAGAAAAATGGAAATGATTTGATTTTTGAATTGTTAATTTTCATGTGTGGTTTAAATGTTTGTATTGTTTGTGTGCTTATGATTGTTTTGTGTGTGGGCCACAACACCAGCCCCCGCTGCCTGTGGCCCACGAGTATTGTACCTGTTTGCAATCCCAATAAGTCAAATTGTTAATTGCTACATGTATTAAAAAAATACTGCATAGCCAGAAGGTAAAAAATAAAACAACATAATTCTTAGCTAGCCACTTTCTTTGCAAATGGAAACCTCTGTCTACCTTCCACAGCTTCTACCACTTGCACCAACGAGTACATGGAACTGTCTATTCCTGAGGATCAACTGACTGACATCAACTCGAACAACCTACACTGGAAGCCTGACCGGAACTGTGGCGCTACGACTAACGGCACTCACTACATTTTCCGCACTCAACTGTACGGCTGCGGTACACAGGTACGTATGCCAAGAATCGTTTCATGAAGTAGACATCAATCCATTGATGACACTATCGATCATGAAACAAGTCTTAACTGTGACTTCATACACAAGACCCACTTCTTGGTGTAGCCTCATTAAGACCAAATTAAATTGCATGACTAAATTGCATGGACAAAATCCTCTTGAGACATAAAAACTAACACGAGAGGACGAACAGGAAAAATTCAGCCCAAACATAATGCTAATTCACAGGTATAGCCGTAATAAGTTCCGGAGGCTACAAAGTTTTGATTCGAAAAAGGGCGTATGTCATCCATAGAAATAAGGCAGCACGGTCTAACTTATAATCTGCCCCCCTCCCTCTAGGTGAAGTTCAGCCCGAGATACGTCGAATTCGTAAACACCATCAACATCCTGGGTATCCACTTCAACACTGGTGTCATCACCCGCGATAGCGACATCTCCATCACCTCCAAGTAAAGATCAAATACATATTATTTACATATTCATAATGATATCAAATCGCTTTTGTTTTTTATTTGTTTCACAATACTTGCTTATTATGAAATCCTAAAATTCAGTATTAGAATAATTAAATTAATAGAGATATTAGGTAAAGTCAAAGATCGTTGTGTTGACTTTAAATGATGTAAAATGCATGTTTAACGTCTTTCATGTATCGTTTGTTCTGTATTTTTCTGAACCTTACCTCGTCCCTCATGACGTCAATGAAAATACGTTTTTCTTTGTCTTGGATAAAGAATAGTTCAAACAAACAAACAAACAAATAGATAAACAAAATTATTCGGCTTAACGGCAAATGTAATATTTTTCCAAACAACAATGAATGAAAAATATGCTACTACGCATGTGTATTGTACATTGCCGTTGTATGGGGCTAATGACCCAAGCAACACTATCTAAGTAAGAAATTTACCGTTGTACACAGGTGCAACTACGAGCGTCAGGAGTGGGTGGAGTCCACCTTCCTGCCGATCCCGGGCGGACTGAACTTCACGGAGGAGGGGTTCGGGCAGCTGGAGGTCCGGCTCTCCATGTTCCCCACCCGGCAGTATCAGAGACAGTACCGGGCCAACCAGTACCCCATCCACCTCAGGCTGCGTCAGCACGTCTACATGCAGCTGGAGGTACAGGGACACGGGCAGAAACTGTCCGTACTGGCGCTGAACTGTAAGGCCACCATGTCACCTTCACCTAACGACAGTCTGCAGTATCAACTCATCAGGGACGGGTAGGCAGAAATGTTTAACGCGTTTGATGTTATATTTAGTAGCATGCATATTATTTGAGATTTAGGAGGAAAAACATTATAAACATACTTTTGTGCAATCTATTAGACTTTCATTTTACATCAATTCTAATAGATTGCTCAATTGACTTAGTCGCAACCATTTTTACATTGGGCAATGACCGTCATGTTGTTGAAATAAATGAAAAAAAAGGCAGATTCCATCAATCTTTCTCGATAGATATGATGAAAAAAGTCTACCACATGCTTGAAAATGACGCTGTCGTCGTCAGAGACGATTGGCCCAGTCGCGTTGGACATGCAAGTGGTCGGATTATGTTTAGTATACGTCTATGAGGAAATTGTAACCCAGAAATTGTATTATTTATGGAAAGACAGGAAGTTTGCCTGTAACTAGATTGGCAAACCATGCCTTGTGTCTTGAAAAGCCATCAACTGATCAAGCACGATGGTTGCCACTGGTACTTCATCGTCAGTTCAGACACAAGACTTAAAACATCTTTTTACACTATAATCGCAAGCTTTTTTTTTTTGAACCTATAACAAGGAAATGTATTGTTTATTTCTTTCCAGCTGTGCCTCTGACCCCACACTGAAGACCTACGACGTTGACGACCCCGGCAAGGAGCGGTTTGGTTTCGAGGCGTTCCGCTTCATCCGGGAGGTGAGGACGGTGTACGTGCACTGTGAGGTGCTGGTCTGTGACGCCGCTGACTCTGGATCCCGCTGCGCACAGGTTTGTTTGGTCCATGAAAAATGGAGATATCATTTTAGTATCTCTCTCTTTCTCTCTGCCCCTCTCTCTGTGTGTGTCTGTGTTTCCTCACGGACCTTTGGTCAGTTTGTAACGGATATGATTTTTCCGAGAGCTAGAAAGTCATCAATTACGTCTAAATCTCATAGCGCTGGCTGTTTTCACGTTCGTTTCCTGTTTTATGAACCCCTACACTTTTTTGAAAAGAGGACACAGTCACTATCACACAAGATCTAAACTTTCATGAAGCCTGATGAAGTCTCCGAGTTCTTGCTTTTGATGTGAATACCAACGTCATTGTCATGCCTATGTCAGCATAAATGACCCGTCGTTTTCCCATTTTTCCTTTAACCTTTGCCCTGCCTCTCTTGTAACTTACAAGATAACTATATCTCACTGCCACGTACATTTCGTTTCCCTGTAACTTCACAGATTCAAAGTGAACAATTTACTTTGATTCACAATTTTAGAAAAAGGTACCAGACAATAAAATGCGTGGCATACATGTGATTCAAGTATGGATTTTTTAGTTGTATATCTTAATTACACAACTTACTTTTCCCCAGGGTTGCGTCAAGAGGGGCAAAAGAGCTGTTGGAATCTCTGACATGAGGGGACGTCACATGATCTACCAGGGACCAATCATTCTGGATGGTGACAAAGAAGGTATATACAGAGGACAAATACAGGGGGACTAAACTAATTTTTACTTAAGTGAGGAAAGTCGTGTTAGGTGAATTTCCCAAGGGCACAAGATCGATGGCATGTCAGGACGCGAACCAGGGACCTCTTGGTTCCAAGCCGAGCACTCTGCCGTTACGTCACACGACCCCACTAACACAATAATTAATGGATTAACCCTACCTAGACCGGGGGGGGGCTAAAAGTGCCCGCGGCAACTTTGATGTCACCTAGCGTCTGAACGGCTAGCCGTAGAACGACCAAACTTGGTGACTTTTCCTAAAATATTGTTGGCAACAATTCTCTATCATTGGAATAAGATAATAATATTTTGTGTTGCCATGGCAACGGGTTTCTGACAGGCATTTTTTGCTAAATTTAGTACTTTTTGTTTCAACAATAGAATTTTATGGGTTTTATGTCAAGTTACTCATGGTTTCTAATATTAATAACATCCCATATACTTTTATGTAAATTTTATCATTAAATATGCATAATTTATGCTAATTTGATGACGTCATTGGCCAAAATCCAAGATGGCGGACCATATCATTAGAACAGGTATATACGGGTTATTTTCATTAAAATTTCATCAATACTTCCATTTCTTTTTACAAAAAAGGTTTGAATGAAGGTGTTTAGTATGTTTACAATGTATTTTAGGCTTTATCATGAAAAAAAAACTATTTTTGAAAATTCAAGATTGATGATCCAAGATGGCGGATATCTTAAATATGCATGACGTC